ATTGACTCTCCTGCGTATCCGGTGGTGCTGGGCATGCCCTGGTTGAGTACCCATAACCCATCTATTTCGTGGCAGGAGAGGGCTCTGATGGAGTGGTCTGCCCAGTGTGTGGGTAGATGTTTAGGCGTTTCCGTAGGGGCTACCTCGGTGGAGAGTCCAAACCAGGTGCCCGCATTGCACGTTCCCCCTGAGTATGGGGATTTGGCTATTGCGTTTAGTAAGTCGAGGGCAACGCAGTTGCCGCCCCATAGGCAGGGAGATTGTGCGATAGACCTCCAGGCAGGAGCTGCGCTCCCACGGAGCCATGTGTATCCTCTGTCTCAGGAGGAGAAGAAAGCTATGGAGACTTACATAGACGAATCTCTGAGACAAGGATACATACGGCCTTCCACTTCCCCTGCATCCTCGAGTTTCTTTTTTGTGAAGAAGAAGGATGGTGGTTTGCGCCCATGCATCGATTACCGTGGTCTCAATCAGATCACGGTGAAGTACAGTTATCCACTCCCGCTGATTGCGACCATGACTGAGTCCTTGCATGGGGCGCGTTTCTTCACTAAATTAGATCTCAGGAGCGCGTACAACTTGGTGCGCATCAGGGAGGGCGATGAATGGAAGACAGCCTTTAGTACCACCTCGGGCCATTACGAGTATCTTGTCATGCCATACGGGTTGATGAACGCTCCGTCAGTTTTCCAATCATTCGTGGATGAGATCTTCAGGGACATGCAGGGGCAGGGGGTCGTGGTGTACATAGATGACATTCTCGTGTACTCGCCTACCCGTGTCGAGCATGTGGCCCTGGTGCGCAGAGTGTTGCGGAGGCTGGTGGAGCACGACCTGTATGTTAAGGCAGAGAAGTGTCTGTTTTTCCAGGAGTCGGTCTCCTTTTTGGGGTATCAGTTGTCTGCGTCAGGGGTGAAGATGGAGGTAGACCGGGTGTCAGCCGTGCGTAATTGGCAAACACCAACCACTGTGAAGGAGGTGCAGCAGTTTTGGGGGTTTGCGAATTACTACCGGAGGTTTATCCGGGGTTTTGGACAGGTGGCAGCTCCCATCACGTCTCTCTTGAAGGGGGGGCCCGGTGCGTCTGCAGTGGTCTGCCGAGGCGGACAGGGCATTTGGGAGGCTGAAGGACCTGTTTACCTCGGCTCCAGTGCTGGCGCATCCGGATCCCTCTTTACCATTTCAGGTAGAGGTGGACGCGTCTGAGGCCGGTATAGGAGCCGTGCTTTCACAAAGATCAGGCGCGCCACCTAAACTCCGCCCCTGTGCTTTTTATTCTAAGAAGCTCAGTCCGGCGGAGCGAAACTATGACGTAGGGGACAGGGAGCTGTTAGCCGTGGTACAGGCCCTAAAGGTGTGGAGGCACTGGCTTGAGGGGGCTCAACACCCTTTCCTCATTTTGACGGACCACCGTAACCTGGAGTACATCCGGGCAGCGAGGAGGCTAAACCCTCGGCAGGCTAGATGGAATATGTTTTTGACCCGGTTTACGTTTAAGATCACGTACATCCCTGGGTCCCAGAACGGTAAGGCAGATGCGCTGTCTCGGCGGTATGACACGGAGGAGAGGTCCGTGGAGCCCACTCCCATACTGCCGGAGTCGTGTCTGGTGGCACCGGTAGTGTGGGAGGTCGATGCTGAGCTCGAGCGGGCGTTACGCACCGACCCTAGTCCACCACAGTGCCCGGAGGGTCGGAAGTACGTTCCGCTCGAGGTTCGGGATCGATTGATCTATTGGGCTCACACGTCACCCTCCTCTGGACATCCGGGTATCGGCCGGACAGTGCACTGTCTTAGTGCCAAGTACTGGTGGCCCACGTTGGCAAGGGATGTGAGGGTTTATGTTTCCTCCTGCTCGGTGTGCGCCCAGTGTAAGGCGCCTAGACATCTGCCTAGGGGTAAGTTACTACCCCTGCCCGTGCCACAACGACCATGGTCCCACCTCTCGGTGGATTTCCTTACTGACCTTCCTCCTTCACAGGGGAATACCACTATACTGGTCGTTGTGGACCGGTTTTCTAAGGCCTGTCGTTTGCTCCCCATGCCGGGCCTTCCTACCGCCCTGCAAACTGCCGAAGCCCTATTCACCCATGTGTTCCGGCACTACGGGGTACCCGAGGATATTGTGTCTGATCGAGGTCCCCAATTTACCTCCAGAGTCTGGAGGGCCTTTATGGAGCGGTTGGGGGTCTCGGTGAGCCTCACCTCGGGTTACCACCCGGAGAGTAATGGGCAGGTGGAACGTGTAAACCAGGATGTGGGCAGGTTTCTTAGAACATACTGCCAGGACCGGCCGGAGGAGTGGGCAAGGTACGTTCCCTGGGCCGAAATGGCCCAGAATTCCCTACGCCATTCCTCCACTAACCTAACCCCTTTCCAATGTGTGTTAGGTTACCAGCCGGTTCTGGCACCCTGGCAGCAGAGCCAGATCGAGGCTCCTGCGGTGGATGAGTGGGCGAGGCGCTCGGAGGAGACATGGAACGCTGCACACGTCCACCTGCAGCGGGCCCTCCGACGTCATAAGGCGAGCGCCGATCTCCACCGCAGTGAGGGACCGGTGTACGCACCTGGTGATCGAGTCTGGCTCTCTACCAGGAACCTGCCCCTCCGCCTGCCCTGTCGGAAACTGGGTCGGCGGTTTGTAGGGCCATTTAAAGTCCTGGGAAGGTTGAACGAGGTGTGTTATAAATTACAGCTACCTGTTGAATATAAAAGTATTAACCCCTCGTTCCATGTGTCCCTTCTCAGGCCGGTGGTAGCTGGCCCACTCCAAGAAAGTGAGATCAGGGAGACTCCTCCGCCCCCATTGGACATCGAGGGGGCACCGGCGTACTCCGTGAGGTCCATCTTGGATTCGAGACGTCGGATGGGGGGTCTCCAGTATCTAGTGGAGTGGGAGGGGTACGGTCCGGAGGAGCGGTGCTGGGTGCCGAGGAGAGACATTTTGGACCCGTCTCTCCTGACGGAATTCCATCGTGGGCACCCGACGCACCCTGCTCCGCGTCCTCCGGGTCGTCCCCGAGGCCGGAGTCGGCGCACGTCTGGAGCCGCGCGTCAAGGGGGGGGGTACTGTCACGGTTTCGGCCGAGGCTGCCTCTCTCCCTTGTTCGGGCAGGCTTCGGCGTTCGTTGTCTCCGGAATACTAGCTGCCACCGTTGTATGTTTCATGTTCGTTTGCTTTTGTCTGATTGTTGTCACACCTGTTTTCATTTAGTGTCATTAGTGTCCTATTTAGTTCTCGTTGTGTTTGTCAGGTGTTGTGTGTTATTGATTTTTGTCTGTCGTGTGTAGGGCTGATGTTCGCTATTTCGCTCGGTTGAGCTTCCCTCCACTGCGTGGAGTGTTTACGCACCTGTGTAGTGCGCATTTGTTTTGTGCGCCTTCGTGCGTTATTTCGCCTACGGGCAAGTGTTCTCGTAATTTCCTTGTTGGAGAGTTACTAAAGTCTGTTGGACTATACTTCGGTGTCCTGCGTTTGATTCCACCACTACACCCACCTACAGCACGCGTGACAATGACCATATCATATAAACCAACTGGTGGTCTCCAGGACTGGGCTGGAGGTCAGTCACTTTAAGCTCAGTACTGATTGACTTGGGAGGTATAATGGTTCAATCTCACTAAGTAGGGAGTGATCAGTCACTCACCTCTCACTAAGTAGGGAAGTGATCAGTCACTCACCTCTCACTAAGCAGGGAAGTGATCAGACACTCACCTCTCACTAAGCAGGGAAGTGATCAGACACTCGCCTCTCACTAAATAGGGAAGTGATCAGTAACTCGCCTCTCACTAAGCAGGGAAGTGATCAGACACTCACCTCTCACTAAGTAGGGAAGTGATCAGTCACTCACCACTCACTAAGTAGGGAAGTGATCAGTCACTCACCCTCACCCAAGCAGGGAGTGATCAGTCTACTCACCTCTCCCTAAGCAGGGAAGTGATCAGTTTACTCACCTCTCACTAAGCAGGAAGTGATCAGTCACTCACCTCTCACTAAGCAGGGAAGTGATCAGTCACTCACCCTCACTAAGTAGGGATGTGATCAGTCACTCACCTCTCCCTAAGCAGGGAAGTGATCAGTACTCCCCTCTCACTAAGTAGGGAAGTGATCAGTCACTCACCTCTCACTAAGCAGGGAAGTGATCAGTCACTCACCTCTCACTAAGCAGGGAAGTGATCATACACTCACCTCTCACTAAGCGGGAAGTGATCAGTCACTCACCCTCCACTAAGTAGGGAAGTGATCAGTCACTCACCTCTCACCCAAGCAGGGAAGTGATCAGTACTCACCTCTCACTAAGCAGGGAAGTGATCAGACACTCACCTCTCACTAAGCAGGGAAGTGATCAGACACTCGCCTCTCACTAAGCAGGGAAGTGATCAGACACTCGCCTCTCACTAAGCAGGGAAGTGATCAGACACTCACCTCTCACTAAGCAGGGAAGTGATCAGTCACTCACCACTCACTAAGTAGGGATGTGATCAGTCACTCACCTCTCCCTAAGCAGGGAAGTGATCAGTTACTCACCTCTCACTAAGCAGGGAAGTGATCAGTCACTCACCTCTCACTAAGCAGGGAAGTGATCAGTCACTCACCTCTCACTAAGCAGGGAAGTGATCAGTCACTCACCTCTCACTAAGCAGGGAAGTGATCAGTCACTCACCTCTCACTAAGTCAGGGAAGTGATCAGTCACTCACCTCTCACTAAGCAGGGAAGTGATCAGTCACTCACCTCTCACTAAGCAGGGAAGTGATCAGTCACTCACCTCTCACTAAGCAGGGAAGTGATCAGTCACTCACCTCTCACTAAGCAGGGAAGTGATCAGTCACTCACCTCTCACTAAGCAGGGAAGTGATCAGTCACTCACCTCTCACTAAGCAGGGAAGTGATCAGTCACTCACCTCTCACTAAGCAGGGAAGTGATCAGTCACTCGCCTCTCACTAAGCAGGGAAGTGATCAGTCACTCACCTCTCACTAAGCAGGGAAGTGATCAGTCACTCACCTCTCTGGTCTTCCCCTTGCTCATTCTCCACTTCCTGAATGACGATCTTCTTGCTTTTACGTTCCTTCTCCGGTTGACACTGGTTTAGTTTCTTATCCACCTCAACCAGAAGTTTCTGTGGGCCAGGATGTGTGAAGGAAAATCAGAACAGAAGACCTGAAAATAGTTCATTCTATTGTTCCATTAGATTCAATGCAAACATAGTCAAACAACATGTTATGCAGATGAAGACAGGTGATTTAACAGTAGTAACAGTCCATACTATTCAAGACTTAATGTTCCTTTGAAATGTGACACGACTGAAGATAAGTCAACTCCATATCCATCATTCCAGGTCACTACAGTACTATCTATTGAATAAACAGGAGACCTGATGGTCACTACAGTACTATCTATTGAATAAACAGGAGACCTGATGGTCACTACAGTACTATCTATTGAATAAACAGGAGACCTGATGGTCACTACAGTACTATCTATTGAATAAACAGGAGACCTGATGGTCACTACAGTACTATCTATTGAATAAACAGGAGACCTGATGGTCACTACAGTACTATCTATCTATTGAATAAACAGGAGACCTGATGGTCACTACAGTACCGTATATTGAATAAACAGGAGACCTGATGGTCACTACAGTACTATCTATTGAATATACAGGAGACCTGATGGTCACTACAGTACCGTCTATTGAATAAACAGGAGACCTGATGGTCACTACAGTACCGTCTATTGAATAAACAGGAGACCTGATGGTCACTAAAGTACCGCCTATTGAATAAACAGGAGACCTGATGGTCACTACAGTACTATCTATCTATTGAATAAACAGGAGACCTGATGGTCACTACAGTACCGTAATTGGGTCTATTGAATAAACAGGAGACCTGATGGTCACTACAGTACTATCTATTGAATATACAGGAGACCTGATGGTCACTACAGTACCGTCTATTGAATAAACAGGAGACCTGATGGTCACTACAGTACCGTCTATTGAATAAACAGGAGACCTGATGGTCACTACAGTACTATCTATTGAATAAACAGGAGACCTGATGGTCACTACAGTACCGTCTATTGAATAAACAGGAGACCTGATGGTCACTACAGTACTATCTATTGAATAAACAGGAGACCTGATGGTCACTACAGTACTATCTATTGGATAAACAGGAGACCTGATGGTCACTACAGTACTATCTATTGAATAAACAGGAGACCTGATGGTCACTACAGTACCGTCTATTGAATAAACAGGAGACCTGATGGTCACTACAGTACCGTCTATTGAATAAACAGAAGACCTGATGGTCACTACAGTACCGTCTATTGAATAAACAGGAGACCTGATGGTCACTACAGTACCGTCTATTGAATAAACAGGAGACCTGATGGTCACTACAGTACTATCTATCTATTGAATAAACAGGAGACCTGATGGTCACTACAGTACTATCTATTGAATAAACAGGAGACCTGATGGTCACTACAGTACTATCTATATATTGAATAAACAGGAGACCTGATGGTCACTACAGTACTATCTATTGAATAAACAGGAGACCTGATGGTCACTACAGTACTATCTATTGAATAAACAGGAGACCTGATGGTCACTACAGTACCGTCTATTGAATAAACAGGAGACCTGATGCTGTCATTCATTTTGTGGAGGGAACAGAATGGTTGATACAGTAACTCCAACACACCGTGTTGGTCTGTGTGTGTGTGTGTGTGTGTGTGTGAGTGTGTGTGTGTGTTTGTGTGTGTGTTGGGCTGTGTGTGTGTGTGTGTGTGTGAGACACTTACAGTAGCAGTGATGTTCTGTGGTTCAGCCTGCAGTACGCTCCTCAGGTCTTCAGCAGCCATCTGATAGTTCCCCTGCTGTTTCAGCACTGTGGCCCTGCGGAGCAGAGCTTCAAAACACACAATATTACAAAACCCTGTCAGCCAGGAACATGACATGGGCTTTGAAATCACACCTTATTCCTCAGTGCACTATTTTTGAACCAGGGCCCATAGGACTCAGGCCAAAAGTAGTGCACTATATAGGGAATAGGGTGCCATTTTGGACGCACATGTGGTGATGCAGTTTCCTATGTAGCATGGTTATATTAGTATTCATAACTGTGCGTATACATTAAATAGACAAGACCAGTCATTCTGAAAGGTAGACTCAATTAAGTGACGATGCACCAGCAGCACCACAGATATTGAGATGAGCAAGACGCACGACTTCTTTCTCCCAGTCATACACAGTCTCTGAGCGAGATGCACGACTTCTCTCTCCCAGTCATACACAGTCTCTGAGCGAGATGCACGACTTCTCTCTCCCAGTCATACACAGTCTCTGAGCGAGATGCACGACTTCTCTCTCCCAGTCATACACAGTCTCTGAGCGAGATGCACAACTTCTCTCTCCCAGTCATACACAGTCTCTGAGCGAGATGCACGACTTCTCTCTCCCAGTCATACACAGTCTCTGAGCGAGATGCACGACTTCTCTCTCCCAGTCATACACAGTCTCTGAGCGAGATGCACGACTTCTCTCTCCCAGTCATACACAGTCTCTGAGCGAGATGCACGACTTCTCTCTCCCAGTCATACACAGTATCTGAGCGAGATGCATGACTTCTCTCTCCCAGTCATACACAGTCTCTGAGCGAGATGCACGACTTCTCTCTCCCAGTCATACACAGTATCTGAGCGAGATGCACGACTTCTCTCTCCCAGTCATACACAGTATCTGAGCGAGATGCACGACTTCTCTCTCCCAGTCATACACAGTATCTGAGCAAGATGCACGACTTCTCTTTCCCAGTCATACACAGTATCTGCACATGTCCATGAGTTCGCTTCACGTAGTTGCAACGTCATAGATACGGGACCAAAACAGCGGAGAAGTTGAGTACCTTTCATATAGCCCGGCTCCATCTCCAGTGGAACAGTACCTTTCATATAGCCTGGCTCCATCTCCAGTGGAACAGTACCTTTCATATAGCCTGGCTCCATCTCCAGTGGAACAGTACCTTTCATATTGCCTGGCTCCATCTCCAGTGGATCAGTACCTTTCATATAGCCTGGCTCCATCTCCAGTGGAACAGTACCTTTCATATAGCCTGGCTCCATCTCCAGTGGAACAGTACCTTTCATATAGCCTGGCTCCATCTCCAGTGGAACAGTACCTTTCATATGGCCTGGCTCCATCTCCAGTGGAACAGTACCTTTCATAGAGCCTGGCTCCATCTCCAGTGGAACAGTACCTTTCATAGAGCCTGGCTCCATCTCCAGTGGAACAGTACCTTTCATATAGCCTGGCTCCATCTCCAGTGGAACAGTACCTTTCATATAGCCTGGCTCCATCTCCAGTGGAACAGTACCTTTCATATGGCCTGGCTCCATCTCCAGTGGAACAGTACCTTTCATAGAGCCTGGCTCCATCTCCAGTGGAACAGTACCTTTCATATTGCCTGGCTCCATCTCCAGTGGAACAGTACCTTTCATATTGCCTGGCTCCATCTCCAGTGGAACAGTACCTTTCATATTGCCTGGCTCCATCTCCAGTGGAACAGTACCTTTCATATAGCCTGGCTCCATCTCCAGTGGAACAGTACCTTTCATATGGCCTGGCTCCATCTCCAGTGGAACAGTACCTTTCATAGAGCCTGGCTCCATCTCCAGTGGAACAGTACCTTTCATATTGCCTGGCTCCATCTCCAGTGCCTTCTGACAGTCGTTGAGGGCATTGTGCCAGTGCTGCAGGTTGATCTCTGACTGGGCTCTGTTGTTGTAACCTGCTACGGTTGGTACCACTGACAGACTCCTGGTGAGGAGGAGACATGGAGAGAAGAGAGATGGACCACATTTAGCAGTACTGAGACTGATTACTGGATAAGACCTTCTCACTGAGGGCTTTCCTTAATATAAACATTGAATAAGGAATTATGACATAGCCCCTTTAGCAAATGAATAGGATCTCTATGAATATAAATGTATCTCTATGGTTTAAAGCTGAACTCAAGACAAAAGGAATTAAACCCATTGAATATGCATTCACTAAAAGATACTAGCATCAGCTTAGCTTGACGGTAATGACGATCCCTAACTCCTCCAAGTGAGACAGCTGTTAGTGTTAAGTTAAAGGGTCTGACCTTGAATAATACACCACTGCTTCTTCATAGTCGTTGGCCTTGAAAGCCTCGTTGCCTTTAACCTTCTCACGGTTGGCAACGAGGACTTTCTCCTGCTCAGTCAGCGCTAGAAGAACATACACATTCTATCAAGACTACGGAGCAACAACAGTCAAATAAAGACATACTGCAAGTGAGCATGAATTCATGATATAACTGAACAACACAATTCATGTATTTACACTTGTGTAACCGTTACAACTAAATAACATCTCTGAGACACTAATGACACAGTCTAATGGGAACCAAATAGATATTTCACCTGTTGTATTCATTTTGCTCCTGATTTTCAGATATCTAGAGTTTATAATTGCGGGGGGATCCTTTGTTGTTACATTTCCATCAATTTTATCACACTCCCTGTCGACGTCATACCTGCAATACAGAGGGATAACGTTGATAATATTGTCTAAGTATGATTCCAGGACCCCATACACAAATTATAAGGCAGGAAAAAACTATACACTCATTGGTCCCATTCTATATAATCAGGAGGAAGAACCTTCTATAGACTCACTGGTCCCATTCTATATAATCAGGAGGAAGAACTTTCTATAGACTCACTGGTCCCATTCTATATAATCAGGAGGAAGAACCTTCTATAGACTCACTGGTCCCATTCTATATAATCAGGAGGAAGAACCTTCTATAGACTCACTGGTCCCATTCTATATAATCAGGAGGAAGAATCTTCTATAGACTCACTGGTCCCATTCTATATAATCAGGAGGAAGAACCTTCTATAGACTCACTGGTCCCATTCTATATAATCAGGAGGAAGAACCTTCTATAGACTCACTGGTCCCATTCTATATAATCAGGAGGAAAAATCTATAGACTCATTGGTCCCATTCTATATCATCAGGAGGAAGAACCTTCTATAGACTCACTGGTCCCATTCTATATAATCAGGAGGAAGAACCTTCTATAGACTCACTGGTCCCATTCTATATAATCAGGAGGAAGAACCTTCTATAGACTCACTGGTCCCATTCTATATAATCAGGAGGAAGAACCTTCTATAGACTCACTGGTCCCATTCTATATAATTACGAGGAAGAACCTTCTTCTGTGAAGTTTTCTTCTGTCCATTTGAAACGGCATTCTGCAACACAATTCAGAATGAAGTTCAACTCATTGTTCTACTATTGTCTGACAACACAAAATAATTGTATTTCCTCATAAACAGAGAGACTTTACCTGCTTGAGAGTAATAGAGCAACTTGAGCCACGTACTGGGGGAACATTATCATTTTCAAGATCATGAAATAAAGATTGTTGTTTCAGCTCAGTTTCACTCATTTTGGCATCTCTCTCCCACTTCTGTAACAGTGAAACAGTGTGGTGGATGTTAGGTAAGTCTGGTACATAAGGACGTGTGTATCCATGTCATTGTCTACAGCAGTACTACTGCTACACTACTATGGTATTACTACTAATACAAAGTCTCAATGACACGTCCAAGTGTTGTTACAAAGTCACTGATCTCTGTTAACCCAGAACTCAAATCTTGCATAATTTGGTCAGATGCTTGATGTTTTACGTAGTCTGTCCACGACAGATTACAAAAGTCACATTGGCACAGTGAGGCCCCACAACCTTGTGGTCACTTTTAGACAACGTTGTGTGGTGAGGACAGCACCTTGAGTTCGTCAGTGATCTGGCTCCATTCATCTCCAGAGAGGCAGGCAGCGGTGGCTGGGGGGTTGTCCTTTCTGAGGGCACGGCTTCTTGGGTCCAACCTCTCCAGACGACTCTCACAGAACTCTATCAGATGGGGATAGATACCCTCATCTCCAGATCTGTAGTGAAATGGCTGACTGTGAATTTCATGACATCTATCAACATAATACAGAGATGTTCACTTGGCTGGCATAATAGTCATCAGGAAGGAAAAGAGCATATTGATCCCCATTTCAGTTCTGAATTTTTGTTGCACTATTTGTGCAACTCTTTTGTCCATTTCTCACTTAGATTGAACCATTTACCTTAGCACCCTCAGAATCTTCCCCAGGTGTTTCACGTCAGTGCATTTCTCAATGTAGCCATAGTCCAGGTGATCCACTGGAACTGCTGCAGCAGCTCCTGCTGGCACCTCTTGAGTTAGAAGTGAGGAAACTATCTCTGCATTCATGGCTGACCTGTTGACAACAGAAATGCCCATACATTAATAAAGCTACATTTACAAAGTTGTGGCTAGCCTAGTACCTACAGCCTGGGTCGTGCGACAGTCTTTGACGACAATGCTAGTTAGCTAAAGTTAGCAGTTTGGTTTAATGTTACTAGCTAACGTTACTGTTAGTGAAGAGAATGGTTGAAAGCAATAGTGAGAAGTCAATTTCCTACTCACGAGACAATAACCGTGTCACGGAGGGAATGAGAAGTTGTAGGTATTTAGCGAAATAATTACTCGCTACGATGTAAAGTTAGCGAGCGACCTGTGTGTGTCTCTCATAAACAGAGAAACTCCAAGCGATTCGTTCCTATAGTAACCAGCGTCCCGCTTCAGTTGCCGCGAGGGGGTGCGGTTCTGCTTGTTGTGCAAAGCGCCAAGTATCTTTGATGCTGCAGGTGGCTACTTCATCCAGTAGATGGCGACGTCGCGTCAAAGATAGTACAGTACTGGTAGATGGCACTGTAACAGCAACAATTTAACACTGCGCGCACACACACGCCCTATTTTTTGCAGACATTGACTACTTTGTAAATTATCAATCACGTTTGATACTTTTTTTGCGGAGAGGGCTGCAGGCACTGGTATCCCTCCACTTGCACTTACTGACAAATGACTTGTTGTTGACAGTCCATCAACGTCTGGGCCAAAGTCTTGGATTGTCTTATTTGGAATAATAAACAAACAAACATGTATTACTAGTAATACATTCCAAGTTACTTGAACTATAAATGGGGGAAAGAGAACTCACCAGTACATAAGAGCCACCAGGTGGATTTTTCAGAGAATGGGCTCTTCTGAAGGAGAGGGTAGGGGGCGGGGTTGATCAACATGCTCTTGTTTAAACTACTTCCCCAATGTAAAGAGAGAGAGCACAGTTGAGGGTCTTCATTTTATCCAGACAGTGCCTTACGTGTGGTTAGTGTGCAGAGCACAACAGTCCGTTGTCCAGGGCATGAGGGCGACTGGCCATGCATAAACAGACAGGGCAGACAGACAACAGGAAATAATGGTCTCCAGTTACTCCTCATAGACAACCACCTTGCTGTTCTGTTCATGTTTTACCCAGCCAGTCGCTGTCTGAGTTGACAGAGCATCGACCATTCGCTTTTAGTGTCAATCTTCTTTCCATCTTTTATTTTCATCCATCTCTTCATCTCTCCTCTCTTCTTCACCATGGGGTGTTCTTCGTCCAGCACACAGACTGTCGATCAGGAGAAGAGACCGGGGACAAAACCCGAGGAGGCCAATGGAGACACATTTGGTGAGTACATTTTTGTCAGGATCAGTTGACAGTGACACTTCTTTAAAGTTTTGGCAAAATTAGTCAAAGTAAGTTTTTTTTTTTGTTGCGATTAGAATAAGTTCTCACACTGCAGAAGGTTGTGTTACCTGCATTGATTTTGTCTTTTTTTTTTTTTTTACCATGGTGTTACATTGGGATTATAGCAGAAAGCTTTATTATGATCAGTATCTGGTGTTACATTGTGATTATAGCAGAAAGCTTTATTATGATCACTATCTGGTGTTACATTATGATTATAGCAGAAAGCTTTATTATGATCACTATCTGGTGTTACATTTACTCAGTTATTGGTGATCAGTTTTATCTTTTGACTAACCACAGCCAATGATAATGCATTAGTAGTTTATCTTTCCATTAGTTAAAATATGTAAAAACCAGAACAAAACAATCAGCTCTTCCTATCAGCTTCTTTCTCCCCCTATGGAGTGGAAGACCACAGGTGCTCACATCCTCATGTCTATATTACAGTACATTATGTTCCCTGGACATTAACATGTTGCCAGTTAGAGAGCCCATGCAGCTTTGATCAAACTGCTGTTGAAAACATTGCATTGTTGGCAGCACATCTGCACCCTGAGGCTATAGGGTTCTGACCCAACCTGTTAGTTAGCTGTGATTATGCTGTGGCATGACCTGTACTGTGCCATATCCCTTAGGCTATAGGGTTCTGACCCAACCTGTTAGTTAGCTGTGATTATGCTGTGGCATGACCTGTACTGTGCCATATCCCTGAGGCTATAGGGTTCTGACCCAACCTGTTAGTTAGCTGTGATTATGCTGTGGCATGACCTGTACTGTGCCATATCCCTGAGGCTATAGGGTTCTGACCCAACCTGTTAGTTAGCTGTGATTATGCTGTGGCATGACCTGTACTGTGCCATATCCCTGAGGCTATAGGGTTCTGACCCAACCTGTTAGTTAGCTGTGATTATGCTGTGGCATGACCTGTACTGTGCCATATCCCTGAGGCTATAGGGTTCTGACCCAACCTGTTAGTTAGCTGTGATTATGCTGTGGCATGACCTGTACTGTGCCATATCCCTGAGGCTATAGGGTTCTGACCCAACCTGTTAGTTAGCTGTGATTCTGCTTTGGCATGGCCTGTACTGTGTCATATCCCTGAGGCTATAGGGTTCTGACCCAACCTGTTAGTTAGCTGTGATTCTGCTTTGGCATGACCTGTACTGTGCCATATCCCTGAGGCTATAGGGTTCTGACCCAACCTGTTAGTTAGCTGTGATTATGCTGTGGCATGGCCTGTACTGTGTCATATCCCTGAGGCTATAGGGTTCTGACCCAACCTGTTAGTTAGCTGTGATTATGCTGTGGCATGACCTGTACTGTGCCATATCCCTGAGGCTATAGGGTTCTGACCCAACCTGTTAGTTAGCTGTGATTATGCTGTGGCATGACCTGTACTGTGCCATATCCCTGAGGCTATAGGGTTCTGACCCAACCTGTTAGTTAGCTGTGATTCTGCTTTGGCATGGCCTGTACTGTGTCATATCCCTGAGGCTATAGGGTTCTGACCCAACCTGTTAATTAGCTGTGATTATGCTGTGGCATGGCCTGTACTGTGCCATATCCCTGTGGCTATAGGGTTCTGACCCAACCTGTTAGTTAGCCTGTACTGTGTAAATACTTAAATCAGTTATCGAACAAATTGCCCTCTATGGTTGTGAAGTCTGGGGTCCACTCACCAACCAATAATTCACAAAATGGGACAAACACCCAATTGAGACTCTGCATGCAGAATTCTGCAAAAATATACTTTGTGTACAACGCCAAACCCCAAACAAATCATGCAGAGCAGAATTAGGACTATACCCGCTACTGATCAAAATCTAGAAAAGAGCCGTTAAATTCTACAACCACCTAAAAGGAAGCGATGCCCACACATTCCCCCACAAAGCCATCACCTACAGAGAGATGAACCTAGAGAAGAGTCCCCTAAGCAAGCTGGTTCTGGGGCTCTGTTCACAAACACATACAGAGCCCACAGAGCCCCAGGACAGAAACACATTTAGACCCAACCAAATTATAAGAAAACAAAAATATAATTACTTGACACATTGGAAAGAATCAACCAATAAACAGAGCAAATTGGAATGCTACCTGGCAGAATACCTGACCACTGTGACTGACCCAAAATTAAGGAAATCCTTGACTGTACAGACTCAGTGACCATAGCCTTGCTATTGAGAAAGGCCGCCGTAGGCAGACCTGGCTATCGAGAAAAGACAGGCTATGTGCACACTGCCCACAAAATGAAGTGGAAACTGAGCTGCACTTCCTAACCTCCTGCCAAATGTATGACCATATTAGAGACACATATTTCCCACAGATTACACACACCCACAAATAATTGTTAAACACAACAAACATTTATAAACTCCCATATCTATTGGGTGAAATACCACAGTGTGCAGTCACAGCAGCAAGATTTATGACCTGTTGCCATGAGAAAAGGGCAACCAGTGAAGAACAAACCCCATTATAAATACAACCCATATTTATCTGTTTATGTATCTTCCCCCACTATTCATACTACAACTATTTGCACATTGATAAAACATATAGCTGATAATATAACACTTGAAACGTCTTTATCTTTTTAAAACCTTTTTTAGTGCAATATTTGCCTTCTCACTTCTGTTGATTGTTTATTTCACTTGCTTTTGTAATGTCAACAAGTTTCCTATGCCAATAAAGCCCCTTTGAAATGAATTGAGTGGTGACGGCTTCTTAGAAAGCCAGCCATACCACCCCCAACTCCCCCCAGAGCCATACTACATACCACCCCTAACTCCCCCCAGAGCCATACTACATACCACCCCTAACTCCCCCAGAGCCATACTACATACCACCCCTAACTCCCCCAGAGCCATACTACATACCACCCCTAACTCCCCCAGAGCCATACCACCCCTAACTCCCTCCAGAACCATACTACATACCACCCCTAACTCCCCCAGAGCCATACTACATTACATTTACATTACATTTTAGTCATTTAGCAGACGCTCTTATCCAGAGCGACTTACAGGAGCAATTAGGGTTAAGTGCCTTGCTCAAGGGCACATTTACGTCATTTAGCAGACGCTCTTATCCAGAGCGACTACAAATTGGTGCATTCACCCTATAGCCAGTGGGATAACCACTTTACAATTATACTTTTTTTTTTTTTTTTTTGGGGGGGGTAGAAGGATTACTTTATCCTATCCCAGGTGTTCCTTAAAGAGGTGGGGTTTCAAATGTCTCCGGAAGGTGGTGAGTGACTCCGCTGTCCTGGCGTCGTGAGGGAGCTTGTTCCACCATTGGGGTGCCAGAGCAGCGAACAGCTTTGACTGGGCTGAGCGGGAACTATGCTTCCGCAGAGGAAGGGGAGCCAGCAGGCCAGAGGTGGATGAACGCAATGCCCTCGCCTGGGTGTAGGGACTGATCAGAGCCTGAAGGTACGGAGGAGCCGTTCCCCTCACTGCTCCATAGGCAAGCACCATGGTCTTGTAACGGATGCGAGCTTCAACTGGAAGCCAGTGGAGTGTGCGGAGGAGGGGGGTGACGTGAGAGAACTTGGGAAGGTTGAACACCAGACGGGCTGCGGCATTCTGGATGAGTTGTAGGGGTTTAATGGCACAGGCAGGGAGCCCAGCCAACAGCGAGTTGCAGTAATCCAGACAATAAAGCCCCTTTGAAATGAATTGAGTGGTGACGGCTTCTTAGAAAGCCAGCCATACCACCCCCAACTCCCCCCAGAGCCATACTACATACCACCCCTAACTCCCCCCAGAGCCATACTACATACCACCCCTAACTCCCCCAGAGCCATACTACAGACCACCCCTAACTCCCCCAGAGCCATACTACATACCACCCCTAACTCCCCCCAGAGCCATACCACCCCTAACTCCCTCCAGAACCATACAACATACCACCCCTATACTACATACCACCCCTAACTCCCCCAGAGCCATACTACATACCACCCCTAACTCCCCCAGAGCCATACTACATACCACCCCTATACTACATACCACCCCTAACTCCCCCAGAGCCATACTACATACCACCCCTAACTCCCCCAGAGCCATACTACAGACCACCCCTAACTCCCCCAGAGCCATACTACATACCACCCCTAACTCCCCCCAGAGCCATACCACCCCTAACTCCCTCCAGAACCATACTACATACCACCCCTATACTACATACCACCCCTAACTCCCCCAGAGCCATACTACATACCACCCCTATACTACAGACCACCCCTAACTCCCCCAGAGCCATACTACATACCACCCCTATACTACATACCACCCCTAACTCCCCCAGAGCCATACTACATACCACCCCTAACTCCCCCAGAGCCATACTACATACCACCCCTAACTTCCCCCAGAGCCATACTACATACCACCCCTAACTCCCCCAGAGCCATACTACATACCACCCCTAACTCCCCCAGAGCCATACTACATTCCACCCCTAACTCCCCCAGAGCCGTACTACATACCACCCCTAACTCCCCCCAGAGCCATACTACATACCACCCCTAACTCCCCCCAGAGCCATACTACATACCACCCCTAACTCCCCCCAGAGCCATATTACATACCACCCCTAACTAAATTGTACGCTTCCCCAAACCTGAAACTCTTATGAAGGATTTATATATATTTTTTCTCCCGACCAGAAACAGTTTGATTTATAGCTTTTCTTTTTGCTTTAGCTTTTTGTCACAACCTGGAAACCCTGCTACCCACAGAGAGGCCTGGCTGACACAGGGGCCATATTGTCCATTCATGGGGCCTGCCTGGCTCTGGTCCTGCCACATGGCTTCCACACTCCAGGGACAGGCACAGCTGAGGGCATTATGTCATCATTTAACATACACTCACACTGTGTACTCACTGCCCTGTTGTTGCAGCCTGACCATCAGTATGTCTTTATACATGTTGTTGTAGCCTGACCATCAGTATATCTTTATACATGTTACAGCCTGACCATCAGTATGTCTTTATACATGTTACAGCCTGACCATCAGTATGTCTTTATACATGTTACAGCCTGACCATCAGTATGTCTTTATACATGTTACAGCCTGACCATCAGTATGTCTTTATACATGTTGTTGTAGCCTGACCATCAGTATGTCTTTATACATGTTACAGCCTGACCATCAGTATGTCTTTATACATGTTACAGCCTGACCATCAGTATATCTTTATACATGTTGTTGTAGCCTGACCATCAGTATGTCTTTATACATGTTACAGCCTGACCATCAGTATGTCTTTATACATGTTACAGCCTGACCATCAGTATGTCTTTATACATGTTACAGCCTGACCATCAGTATGTCTTTATACATGTTACAGCCTGACCATCAGTATATCTTTATACATGTTGCAGCCTGACCATCAGTATGTCTTTATACATGTTACAGCCTGACCATCAGTATATCTTTATACATGTTGCAGCCTGACCATCAGTATGTCTTTATACATGTTACAGCCTGACCATCAGTATGTCTTTATACATGTTACAGCCTGACCATCAGTATACAGTGGGGGAAAAAAGTATTTAGTCAGCCACCAATTGTGCAAGTTCTCCCACTTAAAAAGATGAGAGAGGCCTGTAATTTTCATCATAGGTACACGTCAACTATGACAGACAAATTGAGAAGAAAAAAAATCCAGAAAATCACATTGTAGGATTTTTAATGAATTTATTTGCAAATTATGGTGGAAAATAAGTATTTGGTCACCTACAAACAAGCAAGATTTCTGGCTCTCACAGACCTGTAACTTCTTCTTTAAGAGGCTCCTCTTTCCTCCACTCGTTATCAGTATAAAAGACACCTGTCCACAACCTCAAACAGTCACACTCCAAACTCCACTATGGCCAAGACCAAAGAGCTGTCAAAGGACACCAGAAACAAAATTGTAGACCTGCACCAGGCTGGGAAGACTGAATCTGCAATAGGTAAGCAGCTTGGTTTGAAGAAATCAACTGTGGGAGCAATTATTAGGAAATGGAAGACATACAAGACCACTGATAATCTCCCTCGATCTGGGGCTCCACGCAAGATCTCACCCCGTGGGGTCAAAATGATCACAAAAACGGTGAGCAAAAATCCCAGAACCACACGGGGGGACCTAGTGAATGACCTGCAGAGAGCTGGGACCAAAGTAACAAAGCCTACCATCAGTAACACACTACGCCGCCAGGGACTCAAATCCTGCAGTGCCAGACGTGTCCCCCTGCTTAAGCCAGTACATGTCCAGGCCCGTCTGAAGTTTGCTAGAGTGCATTTGGATGATCCAGAAGAGGATTGGGAGAATGTCATATGGTCAGATGAAACCAAAATATAAATTTTTGGTAAAAACTCAACTCGTCGTGTTTGGAGGACAAAGAATGCTGAGTTGCATCCAAAGAACACCATACCTACTGTGAAGCATGGGGGTGGAAACATCATGCTTTGGGGCTGTTTTTCTGCAAAGGGACCAGGACGACTGATCCGTGTAAAGGAAAGAATGAATGGGGCCATGTATCGTGAGATTTTTAGTGAAAACCTCCTTCCATCAGCAAGGGCATTGAAGATGAAACGTGGCTGGGTCTTTCAGCATGACAATGATCCCAAACACACCGCCCGGGCAACGAAGGAGTGGCTTCGTAAGAAGCATTTCAAGCTCCTGGAGTGGCCTAGCCAGTCTCCAGATCTCAACCCCATAGAAAATCTTTGGAGGGAGTTGAAAGTCCGTGTTGCCCAGCGACAGCCCCAAAACATCACTGCTCTAGAGGAGATCTGCATGAGGAATGGGCCAAAATACCAGCAACAGTGTGTGAAAACCTTGTGAAGACTTACAGAAAACGTTTGACCTGTGTCATTGCCAACAAAGGGTATATAACAAAGTATTGAGAAACTTTTGTTATTGACCAAATACTTATTTTCCACCATAATTTGCAAATAAATTCATTAAAAATCCTACAATGTGATTTTCTGGATTTTTTTCCCTCATTTTTTCTGTCATAGTTGACGTGTACCTATGATGAAAATTACAGGCCTCTCTCATCTTTTTAAGTGGGAGAACTTGCGCAATTGGTGGCTGACTAAATACTTTTTTCCCCCACTGTATCTTTATACATGTTACAGCCTGACCATCAGTATGTCTTTATACATGTTACAGCCTGACCATCAGTATGTCTTTATACATGTTACAGCCTGACCATCAGTATATCTTTATACATGTTGCAGCCTGACCATCAGTATGTCTTTGTACATGTTGTTGTAGCCTGACCATCAGTATGTCTTTATACATGTTACAGCCTGACCATCAGTATGTCTTTATACATGTTACAGCCTGACCATCAGTATGTCTTTATACATGTTGTTGTAGCCTGACCATCAGTATGTCTTTATACATGTTACAGCCTGACCATCAGTATGTCTTTATACATGTTGCAGCCTGACCATCAGTATGTCTTTATACATGTTACAGCCTGACCATCAGTATATCTTTATACATGTTACAGCCTGACCATCAGTATGTCTTTATACATGTTGTTGTAGCCTGACCATCAGTAGTCTTTAACATGTTGTAGCTGACCATCAGTATATCTTTATACATGTTTAAGCCTGACCATCAGTATTCTTTATACATGTACAGCCTGACCATCAGTATGTCTTTTATACATGTTACAGCCTGACCATCAGTATGTCTTTATACATGTTACAGCCTGACCATCAGTATGTCTTTATACATGTTACAGCTGACCATCAGTATGTCTTATACATGTTACAGCCTGACCATCAGTATGTCTTTATACATGTGTTGACAGCCTGACCATCAGTATGTCTTTATACATGTTACAGCCTGACCATCAGTATATCTTTATACATGTTGCAGCCTGACCATCAGTATATCTTTATACATGTTAAGCCTGACCATCAGTATGTCTTTATACATGTTGTTGTAGCCTGACCATCAGTATGTATCATGTTCACTGACATCTATGTCTTATACATGTACAGCCTGACCATCAGTATGTCTTTATACATGTTACAGCCTGACCATCAGTATGTCTTTATACATGTTACAGCCTGACCATCAGTATGTCTTTATACATGTTACAGCCTGACCATCAGTATGTCTTTATACATGTTACAGCCTGACCATCAGTATGTCTTTATACATGTTTAAGCCTGACCATCAGTATATCTTTATACATGTTGTAGCCTGACCATCAGTATGTCTTTATACATGTTACAGCTGACCATCAGTATGTCTTTATACATGTTACAGCCTGACCATCAGTATGTCTTTATTACATGTACAGCCTGACCATCAGTATGTCTTTATACATGTTGCAGCCTGACCATCAGTATGTCTTTATACATGTTACAGCCTGACCATCAGTATATCTTTATACATGTTTGCAGCCTGACCATCAGTATGATCTTTATACATGTTTTGCAGCCTGACCATCAGTATGTCTTTATACATGTTACACGCCTGACCATCAGTATGTCTTTATACATGTTACAGCCTGACCATCAGTATGTCTTATACATGTTACAGCCTGACCATCAGTATGTCTTTAACATGTTACAGCCTGACCATCAGTATGTCTTTATAACATGTTACAGCCTGACCATCAGTATGTCTTTATACATGTGTTGGTAGCCTGACATCATATGTTTTATACATGGTTTAGCCTGACCATCAGTATATCTTTATACATGTTACAGCCTGACCATCAGTATATCTTTATACATGTTACAGCCTGACCATCAGTATGTCTTTATACATGTTACAGCCTGACCATCAGTATGTCTTTATACATGTTACAGCCTGACCATCAGTATGTCTTTATACATGTTACAGCCTGACCATCAGTATGTCTTTATACATGTTACAGCCTGACCATCAGTATGTCTTTATACATGTTGACAGCCTGACCATCAGTATTCTTTATACATGTTCACAGCCTGACCATCAGTATGTCTTTATACATGTTTCAAGCCTGACCATCAGTATGTCTTTATACATGTTACAGCCTGACCATCAGTATGTCTTTATACATGTTACAGCCTGACCATCAGTATGTCTTTATACATGTTACAGCCTGACCATCAGTATGTCTTTATACATGTTACAGCCTGACCATCAGTATGTCTTTATACATGTTACAGCCTGACCATCAGTATGTCTTTATACATGTTACAGCCTGACCATCAGTATTCTTTATACATGTTACAGCCTGACCATCAGTATGTCTTTATACATGTTACAGCCTGACCATCAGTATGTCTTTATACATGTTAGCCTGACCATCAGTATGTCTTTATACATGTTACAGCCTGACCATCAGTCTAAATGTTTACTGACCATCGATGTTTTACAGTAGCCTGACCATCAGTATGTCTTTATACATGTTTCAGCCTGACCATCAGTATGTCTTTATACATGTTACAGCCTGACCATCAGTATTCTTTATACATGTTCAGCCTGACCTCAGTATGCTTTTAATGTTACAGCCTGACCATCAGTATGTCTTTATACATGTTACAGGACCATCAGTAGCTTATACATGTTACAGCCTGACCATCAGTATGTCTTTATACATGTTACAGCCTGACCATCAGTATGTCTTTATACATGTTACAGCCTGACCATCAGTATGTCTTTATACATGTTACAGCCTGACCATCAGTATGTCTTTATACATGTTACAGCCTGACCATCAGTATATCTTTATACATGTTACAGCCTGACCATCAGTATGTCTTTATACATGTTACAGCCTGACCATCAGTATATCTTTATACATGTTACAGCCTGACCATCAGTATGTCTTTATACATGTTACAGCCTGACCATCAGTATGTCTTTATACATGTTAAGCCTGACCATCAGTATGTCTTTATACATGTTACAGCCTGACCATCAGTATGTCTTTATACATGTTGTTGCAGCCTGACCATCAGTATGTCTTTATACATGTTACAGCCTGACCATCAGTATGTCTTTATACATGTTACAGCCTGACCATCAGTATGTCTTTATACATGTTACAGCCTGACCATCAGTATGTCTTTATACATGTTACAGCCTGACCATCAGTATGTCTTTATACATGTTACAGCCTGACCATCAGTATGTCTTTATACATGTTACAGCCTGACCATCAGTATGTCTTTATACATGTTTACAGCCTGACCATCAGTATGTCTTTATACATGTTACAGCCTGACCATCAGTTTCTTTATACATGTTACAGCCTGACCATCAGTATGTCTTTATACATGTTAGCACATTCAATGTCAGCCTGACCATCAGTATGTCTTTATACATGTTGCAGCCTGACCATCAGTATTCTTTATACATGTTACAGCCTGACCATCAGTATGTCTTTATACATGTTACAGCCTGACCATCAGTATGTCTTTATACATGTTGCAGCCTGACCATCAGTATGTCTTTATACATGTTGCTGACACAGAGTCTAACATGTTCAGCCTGACCATCAGTATGTCTTTATACATGTGACAGCCTGGACCATCAGTATGTCTTTATACTGTTACAGCCTGACCAATCGTAGTATCTGTTTACCATAGTTACAGTGTCTGGCACCATCATGTATACTAATAAGCTCTGTATACAGTTGTGCACTGAGATCAGTATGTCTTGCCATACAGTGTTGGCACTGAGTGCACGTATGTAATAATACATTTAGATCCTGGCCATCGTAGTGTCACTGTATGTTTACCAGCTCTGGCAAGTGTCATGTCAGTTTGTACAGGTGTTGTTGCCCTACAGGTCTGGTCCAGTAGTTGTCTGTAGTGACTAGCATTGCAGCTCTGGAAAGTAGTGCTTGTAGTGACCTAGATGTCTTTTCAGTTGGCCAACGAGTGCACTGTAGTGACTGATTACCAGCTCTGCCACAATGTCTGTAGTACACTGTAGTGACTAGCATCTCTAGTCTGTCCAACAGTGCCTGTTCAGTGACTATGTTACCAGCTACTGCACGTGTGTCACTGTTGACTAGTTACCAGCTCAGGTTGTGAGTGCCATTCTGCAGTGTTGCTGTCTGTTTCAGGTGTCTGTTGAGCCATCTCTAGCAGTGTGTACTGTCTTTTCAGCTGTTGTTGCAAGTGATCTCTAGCAGTGGTTGTCGTCTTTAGCGGTGTGTTGTAGTAGCCATCACCCTTTCTTGCTGTGTCTCCTAGATCTCGTTCAGGCCGCTGTTAGTGTACGTGCACATCTTACATGTGACCTGTTTTCCCAACGTGTTCCTGTAGTCCAGCCATCCCTGAGACTGTCATGCCCCGTTCTCAGTCTTATTACATGACTCTACCTGTCTGTGCAAAGGTCATGATTGCACAAATGATCCATCCAGCATAACGCCTATCCCACATGTCCTCTGTCCCCATCCCAAGCTCCTCATGCACAGGCCCAAGCTCTGACTCACCCTGTCTCATGACATATTCACCCATGCTACATGCCTAACGATAGGCACTACTCTAGTACTGATCCCCATCTCGCTGTGCACCATACTCTCACTACCACCACCACATACTCTCATGTCCCATCCCACTGCCTCATAAGACGCCTACACACATAACGGTTCATCACTGGCTCATCAATCACTATCACATAACGTCCCATCACAGCACTAACTCTCATCCCATACTCCTCCCCCATAACCAACACACCATATCCCAGCCATACACTCCTATAACACATTCTACAGCCCTAACTACACAATAATCCATCACCATACCTCACTCACACCCATAACCCAAAACTCCTCAGCCACATCACCCATAACTCCTCATCACAGCACCCCATAACTCCTCATCACCCCATAACTCCATTACATCACCCCATAACTCCTCAGCACATCACCCCATAACTCCTCAGCACATCACCCCATAACTCCTCATCACATCACCCCATAACTCCTCATCACCCCATAACTCCTCATCACCCCATAACTGCTCATCACATAACCCATAACTCCTCATCACATCACCCCATAACTCCTCATCACCCCATAACTCCTCATCACTTCACCATAACTCCTCATCACTTCACCATAACTCCTCATCACTTCACCATAACTCCTCATTACATCACCCCATAACTCCTCAGCACATCACCCCATAACTCCTCATCACATCACCCCATAACTCCTCATCACATCACCCCATAACTCCTCATCACATCACCCCATAACTCCTCATCACATCACCCCATAACTCCTCATCACATCACCTCGTAACTCCTCATCACAGCACCCCATAACTTACTGTTGAGAGACTTTGTAGACCTACAAATCTCTCTCTCTGTTTGCTTGTCTTCCATTGGCCTGGTTAGTTCCCATTGGCCTGGTTAGTTCCCATTGGCCTGGTTAGTTCCCATTGGCCTGGTTAGTTCCCATTGGCCTGGTTAGTTCCTATTGGCCTGGTTAGTTCCTATTTTGTGCTAACCCATCACATTCCTTTCCAGTCATTGCTCCCTGGTCTTTAGGGGCTACGACAGTCATACCAAACCGGGAAGCGGGAGCGTCTAATTTGATCATTTGGTTTATGTCATGCATGAAACAATGCTCTGTTTACATCAGAGGAGTTAACAGTGACATGGATTAAATAATAGGAATGGTGTGATCAGTCTAAGAAACAGATTTCCTGAACTGTTTTGCAGACAGACTGGTTCCAACTCTATGGTAAATCGTTGTATTTTGAAACATCCTAGAAGTGGGCTATTCAACACAAACAGATCTGGGACCAGGCTAACAGACTATCTGTTGTGTGTTTCCCAGGTGTCTAGCAGCCTGCCCCTGGATGGATATGTCCCCATCTAGTCTGTATCATTCATATACACTTCCCCATCCAGTTTCATACCGAGGGGCGGAAGGTGAACCTAGTCCTCAGGGCTCAGAGAAAACCAAAGGTTGCTTTCAATATATCACATTTTTCAGCCCCGGAAATGGAGGATGAGCTTTTCATCTGTAACGTTCTGCATGTCCTAGAAACCCTCCAGTCTGATTTTGTTTTCTCTCACTGCTGAGTCAAACCAACTGAGACTCTTACCAAGGGCCACTTCTGTTCAGTCATATTTTCAACAGCAGTTAAATACTTCAGGATGACTCCAACAACCAAAGTATTTGAATACAAAGTGAAAACGGCTCCACTGTTCACAGCACATGGGTTGATTAACATCACAGGTACCTGAAGAGTGAGTGTCACCTTTGACAGCAAATGGTACATTTGACATTTCTGAACTCTGGCATCTGCTGCAGCGGCACACATAGTGAACCGTTCATCTGCAAACCTCAATTATATTGATGGAGTGTGATACATTCATTAAACGATCAATGATGTTATATGTTCTGTAGATTGATTTGTTTCAATGCAGCAATCTGTATTTGAATCCATTACATCTACAGCACGTTTTCCATGTGGAAACCTGTAGTTATTTGACTAATATAAAGGAGCTTTTGTGACTGACAGTACTGTTGTGGTTCAGTCTCAGCATGTAATAGATTTAGATGGAATGTTCCACTAGATCAGCATCATGTGCAGTTGTATTACCCTGTATGGAATACTATGGGCATTATTACTTCAGGTCCTTGGTGAATACTATGGGCATTATTACTTCAGGTCCTTGGTGAATACTATGGGCATTATTACTTTAGGTCCTTGGTGAATACTATGGGCATTATTACTTCAGGTCCTTGGTGAATACTATGGGCATTATTACTTCAGGTCCTTTGTGAATACTATGGGCATTATTACTTCAGGTCCTTGGTGAATACTATGGGCATTATTACTTCAGGTCCTTGGTGAATACTATGGGCATTATTACTTCAGGTCCTTGGTGAATAGCTTACACCCCCCCCATGTTAAAATTTTGATTGATGCCCATATACTGTGCTATAGATTGTTTCAGAAAAATACGAACCACGTTTCAGATAATTACGAACCACGTTTCAGATAAATACGAACCACATTTCAGATCATTACAAACCACGTTTCAGATAAATACGAACCACGTTTCAGATAAATACTAACCATGTTAACCTTGTGTCTCCTTAATGAGCTTTAACTTGTTGTCTCTGGCAGTTGCATGATATTTTCTTTAGTTGGCCGTGGCAGTAGATCATGGATTGGGTTAGCAGGAGTTGCTATGGAATGTTTTAGGTGTTACTATGGCAGAGTGCTGCATGTGTCTGAAGATGGTTAACCAGATTGGTTCATGACAACACAGACACACCAGCGTCAATGCTGATCAGTCACGAGGGCTTGAATTTCAGGTATTCAACCTATCAGATCCCTCATTAGTTCAACTTAGTTAACAATGTTTGCAATTCAGTAAAGTGGGAAAAGTGCTGTGCAAATATCTTTTATCAGGAATGTTACAAGTGGATCTGGTTCCAGATGTCAGGTTAAACCTATAAATACATTTCTCTCATTAACCTTATGTCTTTCTGTGTTTATTCCAGTTGTAAGGAATGGTCACATCTCGGAGGACACAGAGACCATCGCTGACCAGATGCAGCTTCCTGTCCAGAGTGCCCTGCCAGATGACTTCCTGTCAGGGGGCTGTGATGACTCTGAGGAACCCGTCATCATGGCCTCAGAGGCCCTGGAGACCATGGGGTCTGGATGGGAGGAGGACCAGCTCCTGGTGGTGCTGGCTGCAGCCGAGCCAGAGGTTCCCCCTGAAGCCCCTGCTGAGGCTGCAGCCGTGGAAGCAGAGGTCCCTTCAGAGGCTGTGGCCTTAGTAGAGGCTGTGGCCCCGGTGGAGGTGGTGACCCCTGTTGAGCCTGTCGTAGTTGAGGCTACTCCTGTGGCAGAGGCTCCTGCTAAGACAGTGGTGTCTGAGGAGGCCCCTGTTGTGGAAGCTGCTGCCCCAGTCGAGATAGCTTCCCCCATTGAGGTTGTTGCCCCAGTCGAGGTAGCTGCCCCCATTGAGGTTGTTGCCCCAGTCGAGGTAGCTGCCCCCATTGAGGTTGTTGCCCCAGACGAGGTAGCTGCCACCATTGAGGTTGTTGCCCCAGTCGAGGTAGCTGCCCCCATTGAGGTTGTTGCCCCAGTCGAGGTAGCTGCCCCCATTGAGGTTGTTGCCCCAGTCGAGGTAGCTGCCCCCATTGAGGTTGTTGCCCCAGTCGAGGTAGCTGCCCCCATTGAGGTTGTTGCCCCAGTCGAGTAGCTGCCCCTATGGTGCTGAACGTCCAGCCACTCCCGTAGAGGGCACAGCTGCCCCCTTGAGTGTGCCCGTCGCGGTAGCTG